TTGATACGCCTATAATTCCTTTCTTATGCCCTAGTAGATATTTGAGCCTATTATTCATCCATTTTGGGTCATTTCTATTTGATCTAATTTCCTTATAAGGGATAAACGTTCTTTGAGCAGCATGTATTGTGTTCAGAAAACTGTCATATTGATAGCTCTCTTCGTTACCCCAGTCAACAGATGATAAGTGTTCTCTAAGCCCATCGTAATCTGCTAAGCGAAAATCTGGGACTGTTACCGAGTTATCCCTACTATCATACTTCCATTCAATTCTAAATGTAATTGATTTGTGGTTGCTAGCACCCAGTTCCTCTGAAACTTCTAAATTATTAACAAGGGATTCATTGTTTGCCAGAACTAAGTCAAGCAGGTTATTACCCCTTGTAGGTTCTGTCACAAACTGCTTCAAAAAACAATCCAGAACTACTTCTAAGAAATCGTATGATTCTAAATTCCCAGTCAAGAAATTCCAATCAGTATGACTAAAGTTAAAGTCTCCTAGAATTACTACATTATCGTGCCTTGTGGCCCTAACAATTTCCTCCCATACCTAAAATTAATTTTTCATGCCCCTCTGAAAATTCTATCCAAACAGACTCTGTATGTGTTACTTCAGACTTAATACCCGTTTTTATACAACAGTTCAAGCGATCTCGGACATACAATGCCACCCCACCCCCCTTCCCGACACTTCTATCTACTTGGAACAATTTAAAACCCTGAATGTGACATTCTGCAGGCATGTCCCGACTTTTTGAATTAAACCACGTCTCAGTAATGGCAAATACATCTATGTTACCTGCACTAGCAACTAGTCTCAACTCGTCCATCTTATTCCTAGCACTGCGACTATTTGTGTAATAAATATTTAATGACCCTCCTCTCTCTTTACCCTTCCTGCTCCTTTCTGTTATTCCACTAAACCTAAACCTTGTCAGTTAGTGCCACTGGCTTTCCAATATCCACCTCATTTTGCCTATTACTAGTTCTCCTAGTACTCATGTTACTACCCTGCGACTTCACAGTTTTCCCGCCAAAACCCATACCACTAACTATTCCTAGTTTAAAGACCTAACAGCTCCCTCCACTGCAGTTGCCAGTGCTCCCACCCCAGACCTAGATAAGTGAACCCCATCCCTGGCATACATGTCATTTCTGCCATAGAAGAGGTCCCAGTTGTCAATGAATGTTACCGCATTTTCCTTACAGTATTTGTCCAGCCAGCAATTGACACCAATTGCTCTGGGCAACCATTTCCAACTCCTCTCCTTGGCAAAATGCCACATATGACAGGTTTCCCACCCTTCCTCCTAATTATCTCTATTGCTGACCTATACCTGCTAATCAGGTTCTCACTCCTACGTCTGCCAACATCGTTGCCTCCAGCACTGAGACAGATAATAGGATTGCTCCCATTACCTCTCATGATGTCATCCAGACGGCTAACAATATCCTTCATCCCAGCCCCAGGAAAACACACTCTCTGCCTCCTACTCCTATCCTTCAAGCAGAATGCCCTATCCATGTACCTAATCTAGCTATCCCCAACAACAACAATGTTTTTACCTTCCTTGGCGTCGTCCGTCGTGTTGCTCCGAGTAGTCGACTCACATTCGCCAGGTAGCATTACACCACTTGTAGAATTCGTCAAGACGTTCTCGATGGTCTTCGTTGGGGTTTCTAGGGATGTCTTACTCACGTCTGCCAATGCTTCTTTGGTGCTCGTTGTGGCATTCCCAGTAGAACACTCACATTCGTCAGGTAGCACCGAGAATGAGTTGGAAGTTTCCACGGTAGTCTTCTGGTTTCTCGTTGTTTCTGCCTCTCCAACCGTTTTCTTGATCTTCAGCTTGGTTCCATGTTGCCCGGCCACTGACCAAGCTCCCCTCTTAACCTGGGGACTCACAACAGAAGGATTACTACGAATCCTCTTGTTCTCCTCCGTTAATCGCCGTATCTCCATCTTAGCAACTCTGAGCTCTTCTCTCAGCTGCTGGTAAAGTTGCTCAAGAGAGGGCATCCTGGTACAGATTCACAGAGAGCACACAAACAGGTCTTCACAGAGCTAAGTACATGTCACCACTCAAGCTAAGTACACGTCACCAGTGTTACAGGTGTGGATGGAGTTGTTAATGTGGACAGTGTTGTCAGAGTAGACAGTGTTTTCAGGTTGGAGAGAATGTCAGTGAGCACAGTGTTGTCACTGCACACATTGTTGCCAGGGTCGACAGTATTTCAGTGTAGACAGTGTTGTCAGGGTGGACAGTGTTGTCAAGTTGACAGTGTTGGCAGTGAGGACAGTGTTTTCATGATGGACAGTGCTGTCATTGTGGACAGTGATGCCAGTGTGAACAATGTTGTCAGGATGGAAGGAGTTGTTAGGGATGACAAAGTTGTCAGGATATACAGTGTTCTCAATTTGGACAGTATTGTCAGGGTAAACAGAGCTGCGAGGTTTACAATATTGTCAGTGTGGGTAGTGTTTTCAGTGTGGACAGAGTTCTCAGTGTAGACGGTGTTGTTAGGGATGAGTGTTGTCAGAGTATACAGTGTTGTCAGAGTTGACAGTGTCAACAGAGCAGACAGTATTTGAGAGTGGACAGTGTTGTCAGGGGGAAGAGTGCTGTCAGGGTTAACAGTGTTGTACGGGAGGTCAGTGTTGTCATGGAGGATAGTGTTGTCAGAGAGGACAGTGTTGTCAGGGGGGGACAGTGTTGTCAGGGTGGACATTGTTGTCAATGTGGACAGTGTTGTCAGGGTGGATATTATTGCCAGTGTAGACATTGTTGTCAATGTGGAGAGTGTTGCCAGAGTGCACGGTGTTGTTAGGGATTACAGTGTTGTCAGGGTATACAGTGTTATCAGTGTGGGCAATGCTTTCTGGTGAGCAGTGTTGTCAGTGTTGACTGTGCTGTCAGGGTGGACAGTGTTGTCAGGGAGGACATTGTTATCATTGAGGAAAATGTTATCAGTGTCTTGTGTGCGATTCCTATGCTGGAATTGGGTAAAATCACACACTTCGGACGGCTGGTAAGTTATTATTATGGGTACTAAAGGAGGAACCGTCGTCTCTGCTACCCCACTCTGAACTATTTGTCTTATGCCCGGAGGGCGAACGGCATTCAAACATAATGCTATGGTCAGCAGAATGGCTCAGTAATGGTCAGTGATCATGTAGGGGGGACGTTGAATCAGTAATGGTTGTTATGAGTCACTATGACACTACTGGTAACTGATACTAATGAGATATAGCATAACTCTTTCCCACGGTTCGCTAGTAGTTGGATACACCTGGATTGGATTAGGACCATTAACATTGCCTTTATGCTGCATGCAGACACTACATTTCTTAACATACTCAGAAATATCAGTTGCCATACGAGGCCAAAAGTATTTCAATCTGGCTTGTTTTACAGAACGATCCATACCAGGGTGTGCAACACCTGGTACATCGTGAACCAGCTGTAAGGCTACATTCACTAATGACTGTTATTACTAACTGGTATACCCGTCTGCTAGGAGTACCCAGCTCGGCTGTGCTCTGCAGTAATTTTTGGTTCATGACAAAGTCACTGATGGGTACTGGTGATTTCAGTCAGAATTGGAGCTTCCAGGAGCAGGAATCGAATCACACCAGACCACATGTGATCTGCTCTTTGAGCATTCTATATGTCCTCCGCACTAAATGGAGGGTTGCGGTTAACATGTCGCGATAAAGCATCTATGACTACATTTGACTTGCCAGGTAAGTATTCAAAGGTAGGGTTGAACTCTTAGATGGTCAGTGACCATCTAGCTAACCTTCCAATAGGTTGTTTGTTCTGGAATAAAGGTATCAGTGGAGGATGGTCTGTCAAGACATGAATAGAGTACTGATATATAATGTCTCGGAAGTGCTTTGAAGACCATACTATTGCTAAAGCTTCTTGCTCAGTTACTATATAATTACGTTCAGCCTTAGTAAGGACTCGGCTAGCAAATGCAACTGCGTTGTACTTGCCATCAGTCTTCTGAGCTAGTACGGCAATTATGCCAATTGAACTAGCATCAGTTGATAGATAGAAGGGCTTAGAAAAAATCTGGAAATTTCAAAATTGGAGCAGATGTTAGCTTTTCTTTGAGAATTTGGAATGCTCTTTCTTGACAGAAGGTCCAAATGAAAGGAGCATCTTTCTTAAGCAACTCAGAGGAGCTGCTATGGAAGAAAAATTGACAAAGAACTATAAAATTCTTCTAAGCCCACAAAGGATTTTATGGCATCAGCAGTTTTGGGAGATGGAAAATTTAATACTGCAGTTACTTTACTTTGGTCAGTCATAGCCCCTCTAGGAGTCACTACCTGACCAAGAAACTTGATTTCTGATCTGAAAAGCTGACATTTAGACAGTTTGATCTTCAAATTGGCTCCTTCAAGCTTACCAAGTACTATGTTAAGTCTTTTCAAGTGCGTATCCACGTCTTCAGACGTGACAATTACGTCATCTAAGTACATTATAAGTGCTTTATCTGTGAGCCTCAAGAATGTGATAGGCGAAGATTGTAACCCGAAAGCCATATGTAGGAAGTGATAATGACCTCTAGGAGTGGAAAATGCGGTTAGCTCTTGGCTGTCCTCGTGAAGAGGGACTTGCCAAAACCTTTGTAACAAGTCCAGGGTCAAAAAGACATTGTTATATTCGATGTTTCGTAAAAGGTCACCAGGTACAGGAAGTGGGAAGCGATCTGGAATAGTTTTCGCATATAACTTCCTAAAGTCAATCACTGAGCGCCAAGTACCGTCCTTCTTAGGTACTAGAATCAAGGGCGCATTCCAGGGTGAATTGCTAGGTGCAATAACTCCATCATCATGTATCTGTTTAATCAATTCTGCTGCGACAGCAACTTGTGATTGAGGCATTCTGTACGCATGTATATAAATAGGTCTGGTACCCGGTTCAAGTGGGATACGATGGGACAATAAGTTCGTTATACCCATCTTCTCACCTGGTAAGGCAATAGCTTTACGACGTTTGTTGATTCAACAAACGCTTGATCTCGTCTGGGAAGTCATTGGGAGCTATATCTTTCTTCTCTACTGGTGGTACGGATTGATCCAGTGAAGTGGATGGGCTCTTCCCAGTTGAAATAGCACCGACCCACTGATTGGGTGACAACTCATCCTCTACCTGAACAGGGTAAGGATAGTGAACAAGGTCAACAATATTGATATTTGCTCTGAGGCAAACACTGTGACCAGAAGTGTTAACAAGGAAGAAATGGACCTTACTATCTCCTACAATATGTAAGGATGGCTCAACCTTGCAGAAATCACTGTCAATTAGGACGTTTTCACCATCTGGAACACAAGAACAACAGGCATTCTAGTGAGGGCACTAGCCGCGACAGAAACGTCTTTCTGCAGACAGCATGTGACAACAAGAGATGGCATTACTAGCTGCAAGTAGTCATTTTCCGACAAGGAGTCCCCTGTGGAGGAACTACTACTTGAAATAGCAGATATTGCAGGAATAGGCTCAGCAATCAAGATAGTTTGAGGGTCCTCGGATACCTGAGGCAACTGGACACTATCTTGCATGCCTGAAATTGTAAGTGGAACACAGACAAGAGTGACAGGATCACCAGTGCCTGACCGCTTGGGTATGCTACTGGAAAATGCACTGTCTTGTAAGGACAAAATTCGAACTTCGTACTCTGTGGCAGTATGGCAAATCTCGGATCCAAGCTGGTAACCTCAAAATGGTACGATCAAGTCATCAATTTGGGCATGCCATCGGTAAGGGTCAAGCACAATGCGTAAATCTCTCACAGAAGCAAATCCCTGTAGAAGATTACAAGGGAAAGTAATCTGGTCGACAACCTGGGATAGAAAAGGTGAGGGAAGTCCGACCTCGGAGACGCAGGTGAGAACCAGCTACTCCACTAAGGGACGACACATGAGTCGGTTCTACGAGAAGGACATGTCGTAACTGCTTATCCCTAAACAAACTAGACCTGATAATAGTGACTTGCGCACCAGAGTCCATGAACATACGAATGGGCGCATTAAGAACAGATGCTTGTACTAAGGGACCTATCGTTGTATTGGAAGTTATGTACAAACAAAAAGAAGGGTTTTCATCAGAAAAGGTTTGTTCCACTTCATTCCCAAAATCGTCTTCATCAGAGACGTGTGAAGTAACATCATCAACGAGATTGTCGTTCTCGAGACTGCTTAAGGTATCAAAGGAATTACGAACGGGAATTGTGTATTTATTATCACCTACTGTCACCACGGGACGGTTTGACTGGGGCGCTCAAATTCCCCCAAATGGGAAGAATGAGCCAGGTTCTGGTTAGTCTGAAAATCACGACGTCTGTTTCCTCTCCTGGTTCTGCGGTTGGAACGGCCACGGAATGCTCTAGAGTACTGAAGGTTGTAGAGAGCATTGCACTCAGATGTGTAATGTCCATGGATTCTATGAAAAGTAAAGTACGGCAGATCGGACTGGTAGTCATCATCAGTACGACGCCTCTTAGGGTGACTATCAGGACAATTAACTACAATATGGCCATGGTAACAACAGTTGTAACAAGTCCTCTTGCTATGGTTACTGAATGAATACTACAAGGGTTATAATGACTCGGTACACTGGTATTGGGCGATCGCTGTGATGGTTGTCTACCATGATTTGTCGCTGTGGCAGAAACAAGAGGTGGTGCTGACTGAGGCATAGTTGTGAAATTAGTTTTGATACACGAGAAAGTACTCTGGGGGCACAAGGAATGTACATGATTAAGTGTTGTAAGCAGTTCCATCCTCACGGTTGGAGGATTAGCATCATAAGAACACACGGATGCAGGCAGCATTAGTTCTTTGATTGCCCCAAACGCTGCTATTGTAGCAAACGACGCTGTGGATCTTTTATACTCGTCAGGGACAAAGGCTGAGGACTGGAGTGCGTTGATAAATGATGATAAAAGTTTATCGTGATAGTCTGTAAAGGTCAAACACATTAGGTACGGTATATATAAAAACAAGTATCACATAAAAAAAGACAAACAAAAGACAGAAATGGTAATTTAGAATACTGGGGAAAACAGCACTGATTGAATTTATACACAGAATTAGCAGGAAATAGCAGAAAAAATTATAATAATGATGTAAATACTGGAGAAAATGAATAATACACAATACTGAAATATGGTACATAACACAATACTGAAATATGGTACATAACACAATACTGAAATATGGTACATAACACAATACTGAAATATGGTACATAACACAATACTGAAATATGGTACATAACACAATACTGAAATATGGTGCATACCACAATACTGAAATATGGTGCATAACACAATACTGAAATATGGTACATAACACAATACTGAAATATGGTGCATAACACAATACTGAAATATGGTGCATAACACAATACTGAAATATGGTGCATAACACAATACTGAAATATGGTGCATAACACAATACTGAAATATGGTGCATAACACAATACTGAAATATGGTACATAACACAATACTGAAATATGGTGCATACCACAACACTGAAATATGGTGCATACCACAATACTGAAATATGGTGAATAAGACAATACTGAAATATGGTACATAACACAATACTGAAATATGGTACATAACACAATGCTGAAATATGGTGCATACCACAATACTGAAATATGGTGCATACCACAATACTGAAATATGGTGCATAACACAATACTGAAATATGGTGCATAACACAATACTGAAATATGGTGCATAGCACAATACTGAAATATGGTGCATAACACAATACTGAAATATGGTGCATAACACAATACTGAAAGAACACAAAGTGAAAAAAAAATAATGAAGCACTTCAATGAATGACTGAGAAAAAACTATTAAAAAAATTATTCTGCAGACAAGAGACAAATAATAAATGTTGACACAAGTATATAATGCTTTCGGCAGTGTAGAGAATTAAGACAAAATAACGTACATATATACTGCACATAATAAACAAACAACACAAAACATCACAGATATGTATATAAAAAATGAAACTCGAAAATGACGATGAGAGCACTGGATAAATTATTGCAAAATAATGAGTCAAAGAAAACACGGAGTCTTCACTGAAAGCACAAGTCTTAGAGTACACAAGAAATTCGCTGTAAATGTCTCACACACGTAGATGTCTTTATATGTAAAAGAAACTGTCTCTAAACAGAAAATTATCACTGAAGGTCTCATAGCGGCGTCGAGACGGTGATGGAGAGAAGGGAGATGAAGCCTCGGCTGTATTACAGACACCATACACACACGGAGTCTCTTGAAGAAATTTGCGCTTACTCGGCGAACTCACATAGGTGGCTTTATCGTTGGAGCTACACGGGAATATCTTGACTATGTGAGCCAAAGAGACGATGGTAGGACCCGGTATATGGGTGGATAAAGCCACAGGTGGGAAGGCTTTGTGGTAGGTGGTGGAGATGGCAGTGATGGTGGCGAAGGGAGGGTGACTTATCCCGTGCACCCACTGGCACACTAAATCTCACGGCTGAGGAACCACCTGTTACCCTACATCCCAGTCGGCTTAAGCCACAATATATCACAGGAATGGTGAATACCGCACTGGCCAGCGTTGAATTGGAAGCACAAGGCAATATTGGAGACAATACTTCAAAGAGGAACTGGCTCGGCTTACGTCTGGCTTAGCTGGAGAAACAGCTGGCTTAGGTGGCTTATACCCATACTGTATGACTGGAAATTCTTGTAACTATGCACACAGCATGAAGGAGCAGGGTGAATGACTTGAGACAGGCTGTATGATTGACTGAGGCAGGCTGGGTGAGGAACTGGTGATCTCTCCCACAGACTGGCTTGCTGGCTGCCTTAATTGCAAAACCTAGATCAACTCCTCGAAGGTTAACAATGCAATTAAGGCACAACTAACTACGGAACTTGTACATGTCTGTATAAGCTGGCGTTGGTGGGCAGGCGGTGGCTCTGTGGTTGGCTTGGGGAAATGGTGGGACAGACGCTTCCCCTCTGAGCTGCGGGTACCCCACAAAAATTCTTCTAATGGAGCAAATATCAAATTCACATGAACACCGCTCGCACCAATTTGTCGTGTGGGGATAACTTATTATTACAGGTACTAAAGGAGGAACCGCCAAGCCTGAATCGTCGTCTCTGCTACCCTACTCTGAACTATTTCGTGCCCGGAGGGCAAGTGGCATTCAAACGTAATGCTATAGTCAGCAGAATGACTCAGTGATGGTCAGTGATCATGTAGGGGGAACAGTGAATCAGTAATGGTTGGTACGAGTCACTATGACACTACTGGTAACTGATACTACTGGTAACTGATACTGCTGAGAAAGTGTTTTCAGGGAGGACATTGTTGTCATCGAGGAAAATGTTTTCATCGTAGACAGAGTCGTCAGGGTGGACAGTGTTGTCTGGGTGGATATTATTGTCAGTGTAGGCACTGTTGTCAGGGGTACAGTATATTCAGGGTGGAGAGTGTTGTCAGGTAGAACAATGTCGTCAGGATGGACAGTGTATACAGGATGGACAGTGTTGCCAGGATGGATAGTGTTGTCAGTGTGGACAGTGTTATAGGAGTGGATGGTGTTGTCACCGTGGACAGTGTTGTAAGGGAGAACAGTATTGTCATCGTTGACAGTATTGTCAGGGAGAACAGTGTTCACAGGGAGGACAGTGTTGTCAGGGTGGACATTTTTGTCAGTGTTGACAGTGTTGTCATGGTGAACAATGTTGTTAGGATTTTTAGTGTTGTCAAGTTGAGCAGTATTTGAGTGTGGACAGTGTTGTCAGGGTGAACAGTGTTTTCCGGGTTGACAGTGTTGTCAGGGTGGACAGTGTTGTCATTGTTGACAGTATTGTCAGGGAGGACAGTGTTGTCAGGGAAGAAAGTGTTGTCAGGGAGGACAGTGTTGTCAGGGAGGACAGTGTTATCAGTATGGGCATTGTTAGTGTGGACAGTGTTGTCAGAGTTGACAGTGTTTTCATGGTGGATAGTATTTGAATGAGGATAGTGTTGTCAGGATGAACAGCGTTGTCAGGGTTGATATAGTTGTTAGGGAGGACTGAGTTGTCAACGTGGTCATTGTTGTCAGTGTGGACACTGTTGTTAGTGTGGATAGTGTTTTCAGTGTGAACAGCGTTATCAGGGTGGACGGTGTTGTCAATGTGGACAGTATTTTCAAGGTGGACACTGTTGTCAAGGTGGACAGTGGTGTCAAGGTAGACAGTGTTTTTAAGGTGGACAATATTTTCAATTTTGACAGTGTTTTCAAGGTGGACAGGATGGGCAGTGTTGTCAAGGTGGACAGTGTCGTCAAGGTGGACAATGTTGTCTTGGTGGACAGTGTTGTCATTGAGGACAGTGTTGCAAAAGTCGACAATGTTGACAGTGTGGTCAGTGTTGTCATTGTCGACAATGTTGTAATTGAGGACAATATGGTCATGGAGGAAAGTGTTGTCAGAGTGAACAGTATTTTCAGGGTGGATGGTGTTGTCACGGATGACAATGTTGTCAATGTGAACACTGTTGTCAGGTTTACAGTGTTGTCATCGTGGATAGTGTTCTTAGTCTGGACAGAGTTGTCAGTATTGGCAGGTGTTGTCAATATGGACAGTGTTGTCAGTGTGGACAGTGTTGTTAGGGTTGACAGTGCTGTCAGTATGGACAGTATTGTCAGTGTGGGCAGTGTTGTCAATGTCGAAAGTGTCGTCAGCGTGGACAGTGTTGTCAGGGAGGACAGTGTTTTCAAGGTGGACACTGTTGACAGTGTGGACAATGTTATCAGGGTGGACAGTGTTGTCAGGTTGGACAGTGTTGTCATTCATAACAGTGTTGCCTGGGATGTCAGTGTTTACAGAGATGATCACATTGTCAGGGTGAAAAAAGTTGAGGGTCGTCGGTGTTGTTATGGAGGAGAGTGTTATCAGGGTAGACAGTGTTTTAAGGGTGGACAGCGTTGTCAGTGTCGAGAGTGTTCTCATAATCGACAGTGTTTTCAGGGTAGACAGTGTTGTCAGGGTAGACAGTGTTGTCAGGGAGGACAGTGTTGTCAGGGAAAGCAGTGTTGTCAAGGTGGATGATGCTGTCAGGGTATAGAGCGTTGTGAGGGTGAATAGGGCTTTTAGGGTGGACGGTGGTGTAAAGGAAAACTGTTGATAAGGTGGACAATGTTGTCAGGTTCGATAGTATTGTCAGGGCAGACAGTGTTGTCAGGGAGGACATTACTTTCAGGGGAACTGTGTTGTCAGGGAGGAGAGTGTTCTTAGGATTGACAGTATTGTCAGGTGTGGGCAGAGTTTTCATTTAAGACAGTGTTGTCATTGTGCACAGTGTTATCAGGGAGGACAGTATTGTGATGAAGGACAGTGTTGTCAGGTTGGACAGTTGTAAGGATGGACAGTGTTGTGTGGACAGTGTTGTCAGGGTAAACAATGTTGCCAGGTTTACAGTGTTGTCAGTGTTGATAATGCTGTCAGCGTGGACAGCCTTGTCAGTGTGGATGGTGTTTTTAGGGATCACAGTGTTGTCAGGGTGTTCAGTGTTGTCACTGTGGACAGTGTAGCCATGGTGGAGAGTGTTGTCAAGGTTGGCAGATTTGTCAGGGACGACATTATCATTGTGGTCAGTGTTGTCAGGATGGACAGTGTAGTGAGAGTGGGCAGTGTCTTCAAGGTGGATAGTGTTTTCAGGAAGGACAAATTTGTCAGTGTGGACAGTGTTGTCAGGGTGGAGAGTGTTTTGAGGGAGGACAGTGATGTCAGGGTGGACAGTGATTTGAGGGAGTACAGTGTTGTCAGTGTCGAGAGTGTTGTCAAAATCGACAGTGTTGTCAGGGTGGAGAGTACTGTCAGGGTGAACATTGTTATCAGGGTGGACAGTGATGCCAGGGTAAGCAGTGTTATCAGAGTGGATGATGATGTCAGGGTGAATAGTGT